CACCCAGGAGCCTGGGTTCCTCGCGAACCCAGCTCGTGGGTTCGCGAGCCTAGATGTAAAAAGAGAAAAAAAAGAAAAGGCAGGGGAAGAAAGAAGAGGGTAAATTAGTAATTAAAGGAAAACATTTTACCATGTCATCAATCTTTGAGGGCAAATCAGTAATTAAAAGTAAAAAATTTAGCATGTCATCAATTTTTCTCACGTGGATTTTCCACATAATTTAATATAAAAAAAACAAAATGAGTTTTCCGTTAATTAACCTGCCACATCAGCCAAAATTTAACGGAGGGACTAAAAAGGGGCCGGATTTGTAAACAGTAAGGACCAAAAAGGGGATTTTTTCGGTATAGGGACCAAAAAATGGCTTTTTCCTATAGTAGAGGGACCAAAAAGGGTATTTAACCTATATTATATTAGCAGTGTGCTGCATGGAGCCGAGCTGAGATATCCTATAGCTGAGAAAGCAGCCTTAGCAGTTGTCACTTCGGCCAGAAAGTTGAGGCCATATTTCCAGTCGCACCCGATCATTATTCTTACAGACCAACCCTTTCGACAGATTCTGCAAAAGCCTGAGTGTTTTGGAAGATTAATTAAGTGGGCAGTAGAACTGGGGGAATTTGAGATAACATTTTAGCAGAGATCTGCAATCCGAGCTCAGGCATTGGCAGATTTTATTGTAGAATGCACTCCAAGTAATTCCATTCCTACTCCGAAGCCCAATGACTGAACCTTATATGTTGATGGGGCATCTAGTAGCAAAGGTTCAGGAGCTGGTGCTCTCTTAATCGGCCCAGATGGATACCGAAGCGAACACGCTTTGAAATTTAACTTCGATGCAACAAACAACATGGCTGAGTATGAAGCCCTACTACTTGGTCTGCAGTTAGCATTGGAATTAAACTCAGTGCGATCCAAGTATATAGTGACTCCCAGCTGGTGGTGAACCAAATTAACTCAATCTGCGAAGTTGTTGATCCTGTGATGGTGAAATATGTAGCTTTGGTGGCCGAGCTAAAGTGCAAATTCTAGAAATTCTGTCTGAGCAAAATCCCCCGAACTGAGAACGAACAGGCAGATTCACTCTCTAAATTCACCTCTGATAGTTCTTCACATTCTAGATCAGTTTTTGTGGAGGTCTTAGATGAACCAAACTTCATGAAGCCACGGGTGATGGAGATCAGCACCGACCTAGGCACACCGAGCTGGACGGACCCAATCTTCTCCTTCTTATGAGACAGGATAGTACCTGAGGACAGGCAGGAGGCAATGAAGTTGAGGAGGAAAGCATCTCGGTATACACTTGTTGATGGGGTCCTCTATAAGCGATCTTTCTCGCTACCTCTTCTGCAGTGCTTGAATCCCTATGAAGCAGAATATGCACTCAGGGAGGTGCATGAAGGTGTTTGCGGAAGTCACGTGGGTGCTCGAACTTTGGCTCATAAAGTCCTTAGATAGGGTTATTATTGGCCCAACATGTACAAGGAAGCCATTCACTTTGTTCAGAGATGCTTGAAATGCCAGTTCTTTGCGCACCTGACTCACCAACCTGCAGAGGAACTCACTACTCTGGTAGCACCATGGCCATTTGCTCAGTGGGGATTGGATCTTTTGGGCCCATTCGTGAAGGGGGTTGGTGGTGTAACCCACCTGATTGTTGGTGTAGATTATTTCACAAAGTGGGTTGAAGCTCGGCCATTATCCAGTCTTACTTCCAAGAAGGTTGAAGACTTTGTTTTTAGCTCAATCATCTGTAGATATGGGATCCCGAATCAGATTGTGGCTGATAATGGAACTCAATTTAACTGCACCTCTTTTCGAGATTTCTGTTCCAGCTATGGGATTAAACTGCAGTTCACCTCGGTTTACCATCTGGAGTCCAACGGCATGGTCGAATCTGTTAACAAGTGCATCTTAAAAGGTATAAAGCCGAGGCTGGAACAACACAAGGCCAAATGGGCAGACGAGCTCAACAACGTCCTTTGGGCATACAGAACTACGAGTCGAACTGCCACAGGTATTACTCTACACCTAGCCTACCTAATTAATTTTATGTTATTCTGCTACGGTTTTACCTTAGAGCAAATATGCATAACATGTAAAGCACATTCTAAAGTTATAATCCACTGAAATAGGCGAAACACCTTATCATCTGGCTTTTGGTACCGAAGCAGTCATTCCTATCGAGATTGGAGTTCCAAGCTTCAGAGTCACCCATTTCGATGAAGGACGGAATGGACAACTGCTTCGGGAGAACCTTGATTTGCTTGATGACATTAGAGAAGAAGCACGACTTCGAACTCTAGTCTACAAGCAGAAAATAGCAAACTTCTACAACAAACGAGTTCGACCCCGAACATTCAAAGTAGGAGACCTTGTTCTCAGGAAAGCAGGTCTGACAGGGTTCGAAACTCGATTCAGCAAATTGGCACCAAACTGGGAAGGCCCCTACACTGTCGCCGAAGTGTCACACCCAGGTGCTTATATCCTACGGGACACTGAAGGCAAACGGGTTCCCAGAGTCTGGAATATCAATAACTTGAAGAAGTTTTACCCTTAAGTATACTTCATTTAAGTGAATTTTGTTTTAATAGTTCTTACTTTCACTCTTACTGCTCAACTTAGAGTGTATTTTATTCATTAATAAGTTTCACTTCACGTCCAAAGTAATTCAGTTCTGTGTACTCTTCTATACGTTGGAAGTGAGTTTCATTTATTCTGACTCATTCAGCCACTTCATTTTTAGGGTTAAAATCCTATTAATCAGCTACATTTTTAAAGTGCTTTACTCCGTCTTCGAGGTATACCTTATGGATATCCAAAGTCAACTACTATCCGAGGTCAGAACCTTGTGTTAATTCAAGTTAACTTATTTTATCCAAAAAGAGTTTCCCAAAGGAAAACATCAATCACAAATCTAAAATCGAACACCAGATAATCATAAATTTAAAAATTTTATACATTAATCTCAAATACAAAACTGTTATTTACACTAATAACACAAAAAATCCTAAACTACTCTGCTGGAGGAGGAGGCTGCTCCTCAGCGGGAACAGGTGGGGATATGGGCTCGTCTCCAGCAGGCAGGAATGGCACTCCTGCTTCAGGAAGAGGCAACGCCTGCACTTCGTCAGACGAGACTGGATGCACCTCAGGAGGCTGCACTTCGGCTAGAGCTGCCTGATTCTCAACTCCGGTACCTTGCGCTTCTCCTTCTTTTTCTTCTTCTTCTCCCTCCACGGCCACCAACTCAACGTCAAAGGCTGGAGGAAAAATGGTGCGCTCCTCTGCATCACGCTCCCACCTCAGCGTGATCCGAGGTCGGAAGTCAGCACAGAGGCTCTCCCCATCTTCCTCCACCCCTTCTTCTTGTTCCCCAAAGGTAACCGTTGTCACGTCCACCTATGGGTATTGAGCCTTCACCTTCTTTCTATAGTCGGTGAAGGCCATGATTGCGGTTGGTAGCCAGTAGAGCTTAAGGATGTTCTCAAAGGTGCTGGAGTTGAGGAAGTTGCCAATGTGCTCCTCCATCCCGTTGTGAACCAGCAGGTTCACGTTCTTCTTCAGCTCCGCTGCTCCTTTCCTCATGTTGTCCATGTATTTGTCCTAAGCCTCGACCTTCTCCTCACAGATCTTCCTCTTACGTTCTTCGAGGACAAGCTTCGTGCTCAGGACATCATTCTCGTTCTGGAGCTCGGTCACTGAAGGGAGAACTTCATCCAGCCTCCTCTGCATCTCCCTCTTCTCCTTCTCCCATTCCCCCTTCTCCTTCTGCAGCTCATCCTTCTCCTTCTGCAGCTGTTCGCACTGCCTCTGCAAGTTGGCACGATCTCTCACGCTCTCTGCATACTCCTACGCTAGAGCGTTTGTCCAGCTCGCACTCTACAATGTAATCAGAAGTCAGACATCAGATACAACGGTCAAAAAACTCAAACACACAACTGGAGTAAATTCCAACTATTTCGCATACCTCTAGGGCGTGCCTCACAACGGTATACCCCACATGTCTCACCGCCTCATCCCTCGCCCGCTTCCTATCCACCTCCGGGAGAGTGCGATTGAGGAAGTGCTTCACCCCAGTCGTGTTTGCCGCCTCAAACAGACTTTTCTCAGGCAAAAGAGGAAGGATGAGCTCCTCGCCCCTGCCAGGGCCTCGCACCCCGGCCTCTTCCCTCTCCCGGACCTCAGGATCGATTTTTGGAGGAGAAGGCCAGGGCACGAACTCCACCACCTCGTCCCCCCTGGTTTCTGGCTCTGCCACCCTCCTCTTCTTCCTCTGAAGAGGTGCCATCTCCTCACTTACATCCTCGCTACCCCCCATCATTGGCTCCGGCCTTGGCTGCACCTCCATAGCCTGGGCAGAAGTGCTGGACAGTCGCCCCCACTCTGTCACCTCCTTCTCCACCGCAGTTGAAGTCTTTAACTTCTTCCTTGGCTTCTTGGGGATGCGCAGGCCCCCAGCAGCAGTGACGAACTCGTCCATCTCAGCTGCAAAACAAACATCAATGTCAGAACACATCAGTTAAGCTCTCACCAAAATTTCACATTAAAAACATCCACCAACCTTCCCCCAATGAGCTTGGCCCATAGAGCTCAGCAGCATCTATCACCTCCGGGCTGGTGAGGTACAAGATATCCACTACGTCCCCATCTTCCCTCACCAGCTTCTTCATCTCCTCCACCTCATCCTCATTCAACTTATAGTTGTTCTGCTTGGTTTTCTTCGCTTTCCAAGCAAACAACTGTTCCACTTCGGCATCCATCCTACTCCACTCGGTGTCATCCACAAAGAAGAATTTTTCTTTCCATCCTTTGATGGATGACGGCCCAGTAGAGAATAAATTCCTATTCTCTTTGCTGGACGACCGAGGACCGAAGTGATACCACCCCTTCTCCCCCCTACCCCCAGCCTTAAGTATAAAAAAATGTTTGAACATATTCACTGTCAAAACCCCAACCCCCCGAACTCTGCAGTATACAAGAAAACCTATTACTACCTTCATGGCATTTGGAGTTAGCTGGGTTATTCCTATACTATAATCTAATAATAGCCCAACCAGTAATTCTGGAATGGGAAACCTAAGCCCTGCAATCAAATAATGCAGGTATATGGGCATCCAATGGTCTCGGGGTGCTGAGCATGCCCTCTCATTCACCCCGGCAAGCCTGATTAGGACATGGTGGGGAAGGTTACAGTTCCCTACTAACCCCCTAAGGCTACTTCTACTCCCTAATTCACTCACATACCCCCTCACCTCAGAAACTATCTCTAAGTCTGGGTCATAGCACCCATCTACGCCACCCCCAGATTCCAAAATGTTTGAGGGGATCTCCTCTTCCTCCTCCTTTACTATTACTTCATCCCTCCTCTCCCTCCACCGTCCTCTCTGAACTAGTTGGAGACGGACTGCTTTCCGTATCCATCCTACCGTAATCCAGGGGCATCACTTCACTCCCCACTACACTCCTGGCCTCTTCTGAAGACATCGTAATTTCTGCATAAAGGGGGAGGAGGAACAATGTCAGGACCCTTAACAATTCCAACACACTCAACACATTCTCACTCCCAACCCTAATTTCCTCCAAAAAAACCCAAAATCAACCACAGAAAGGGAGAAAGGAGAGCACCACTTCGACAAAATCAAAATAAAAAATTCATAAACTTTACCTAATTTTGGTCTTGGAAACTGTTGTTGAAGTCTGGATTGAAGCGCAAACCGCACGAAACCGCAGAAATTTAGTAGCA